CGGGCCCCCCCCCCTCGCCTTGGCGGGAGCGGGGCCAGGCCTATCATGCAGCTGAATGTCTCGCTCCTGCTTCCTCCCCTCCGCCGCAATTCCAGCCCCTGGAGAGGAGACAGGCACATGAAGAGCATGTTCCAGTAACCACCGTGGGCTAATAAAGTGCATGGATTTGTGCTGCCTGCTCTGGCTTGCTTTCCAATTCTGCTCTTCTCAAATGCTGCACAGTAAGGTAGAGTTCCTGCTCTGGGCTTGATGCCTCCCTGGCTGCAGCAGATCATGATCCTGTGTGCTGGGAGAGCATGTGCATGGATTACACAGCAGCCCTGTTCATGTCCATGGCTCCCGCTGCCTTCAGTGGGACTGGATTTCAGACATCCTCAGCTGGAATAAACGGAGGTGAAGGAGTATGGAAAGAATGATAGAACAAAAATCACCTTACCTTTGGGGATTAAAACAAGTGCATACTTTTCCCTCACTTTTCTGGCAGTTCTTGCAGATGCTTTTCCATCCTACTCTGTACTGCATCAGGGCTGGTCCCTAACTCTTTGCTGGTAGCTTGCTGAGCATGCACAGTTTACAGCAGGGCTTTATTTCTTTCATTGCTGTTTGTCCTAACCCAAAAATATCTGTCACAGTGGTAACGGTAGCCAAAAAATCCTCAGGCTTTATTTTGTGTCTCTGTGTGTGTATGTCTTCTGCACAAACACTGAGCTCTTTCAAATCAGGAAGCTTTCTCAGCTATTCTGTTGAAGAGCAAATGTGACACTTGTGCTGGCTAGATCTTATGAAGGGACAAATAATATGGGCTATGCCTTGTGTGGAGTCTTCCCTCCCCTCATTCTTTGTATTGTTGAAATTTTGCGTGATCTGTTTGCTGAGAGCTCTCTAATAAAAAGCCTTTAAAGAAAAAAAAAAGTTTGCAGGACGAACTATTCAAAACACAGAATGTAGCTCTCCTCTTGGATCAGCCTAAAGCCTGATGTAGAGCTCAACAGGCCAGGTGCACTCGGGCTCTCTGTAGAGCTTCCAAGACAGCCAAACCGCCCTGATGCATCAGAGCACATCTCTGACATTAATAAATGGCTGGGGCAGTCGCCCCCTTATCCAGCTTCATTCACCCAGCAGCCCTCCTTCCGAAAGGGTCTTTTGCAGTTGCAAGGACAGTCCCAGCTCAGCAAGACGTGGGCAAGGCTCTTGGGCTTGTTGAGGCTCTTAAAACGCTGATTCTGTTGAAAAGTTTCTGAAAAGTTTCTCTGCTTTGTTGATAGTTGAGTATTTTCCTAAGACACTTGGCTTCTTTTTGTTTCCTCTCTCCTACCATACTCTGGGGAAAAAAAGAAAAGAAAACAAACAACAACAACAAAAAACACAAAAAGGCAACCCCCCACACACACCTAACACTGGTGTTTTATTTTTTAATAAACTCCTGTTAATCCCAGTCCCTTTTGGTAATTTCTAGCATACTCATCTTGCTCTGATGTTCTAGAAACAGTGATTTAAACAAGGCTTTTACGTTCAGGTTGTAAGATTATTACTTCAGAATATATGGAGAGCAAGACAAGAGAAGAAGCCCAAGGGCAAAGGAGGAGCTAATCAGAATTGCTTGAAACTCCTTGACTGAAAGCTATTGTCAGTCCTTTTTCCAATAGGTTAATTTTGGGGGGTATCATGGTATAAATATGCTCCAATCTCTTGTTCATGTACTTGATAATGATGTGTTGGTGCTGAATTTTTTATACACCCCCAAATTAATGTTTTTCCTAATCAGCTGTGTTACAAATCATAAAAAAAAAGGAATAAAAAACTGTTGTATCTTAAGCATTTAGTACTCGATGGTAATAACATCTTTTACAGAAAGGCAAGGAATAGAATGTACAGGAATGGAATTTACAAGTGTAAATGTAGATGTTGGCATCACATATGGATTGTAGCTGAACAAGCAGGAGGCTGCTCCAGCTCTCACGATGTGCACAGCCCTGTTCAAGTGCCTGTTCCTGCAATAACCTCTCCAATGCTGCATGGAACCAGTGGGGGGAGACTCATGCAGTGGGCTGTTAACCATGCAATTAACAGCCCCTGTGTAATCACCTTTATGTCTCCTCCCCCACTTCCTCCTCGTTTCCCCCTTGCCAGTTAACTTATTCTTTCTCAGGAAGCAGCTTGTTTATTGTTTGGAAAACACTGTTAGCTTCAAGCAAAGTAATTAAAGCTTTCCTTTTTTTAAAAAAAAAAAAACTTTCTCCTTTATTTTTTCCTCTATCCTGTTAGCAGAAAAAAATGCCTTTAAATAAACTTAAACTCCGCTATTTTCAATTTTGATTTTTGAGAAATTGTATTTAGAAACAAAGTGGTTCATTTTGTATTCAGAAACAAAATCTGTATACCTGTTATATATATGCTAGTGAGGGACTGTCTGTGTTGTTGGGCTACCTTGTTTAAATTAGCTCTGCCTGTTTCATGCAGGTGAGGGCAGGAGGGGTCTTTGGAAATTGTTGCCTTCCCCCTTCCGTCATGGGTCATGTCCTGGTGGGCCATATTTCACTTCAGGCTTATGTGTGTTCTTGATGTATGCCATGAATGATATCATGTAAAATACACATTTCCCACGATCAGAAAAAAAATGTGCAAAAGGAAAAAAGAAGTAATGATAACTCTACCCAAAGCATCAATCTTACAGAAATGTGAGCTTCTGGGATGGGATTTTGTTTGGCAAGGACCCACATTATAGATTTGGAGTTCTGCAAACATGTAAGTGCCACCTTGTTTATACTTAGCTTGGCGTGGAAGGTGACTGTTTGAGCTAATACTCACTTTGCACACACCAGTTAAGATAACAGCCTTTGAGTTCCTGCCTTCATTTGGTAGTTTCCCATTTGAGAGGTTTAACTAACTACCAAGGAGCAGATGTATTAACTTGTTGCCATCATTTTGGAAGTTACTTCAGTCCAAGGCAAGCAACATGTCCTGCATGGGAGTGATGAGGAAGGTTGTATGGACTGACCTCACGGTCCATCAAAGCAACGCACCAACCTGGCAAGCGATTTGTCTGAGCTGTGTAGCCTGAAATGTTCCTTGGGGAAGACCAAGGCTGCAGGTTGTTCGGAAGAAGCCACGTAGCTTCTGCCTGCACCTTGCTGGATCTATAGGTAATTTTGTCTTTGAAGATAGATACTGCATCATCAAAGGAGGCTACAGAAAAGAAAGCCCTTCTAGGAAGCAAACCTCAGCAAAAGTGCATGCAAAGTGAGATTGCAGGGCGAGTGTTGCATCCTGTGCTCTCTGTGCACCAGATGTGTCGCAGACTAACGTCAGTGAGCTTTAAATAAAAGAAAAAATTGCTACATCTGCTTTGAAGGAGTGTTTTAACTGTCCTGAATCTAACCTATAGGGAGTTGGAAGGAAACAGCAATAACCTAATGAGTTTTCTGTACGTTAAAAGCTTTTCACATTGACAGCTGATATATCAGCATCTTCTGGAGAAATAGCAGAATGTTGTCTTTCTAATAATGAAGAGGGTGATATGAGAGACACATAAAAATAGTGTGGAAAGAGCTCAGGGGATCATATACTCCAAGCCTACCTCAAGAAAGGACCAACTGTGCCTAAGCTGTGTGAGATTTTGGCTCTTCGGTGATTCAGGAGAACGCATCTGTGCTGTCTGCAGCCAATGTAATGGGGGATGTGTTTGGGGAAATCATGGTTAAAGGTAAAAAACGAAACGTTTTTATGGTCACTTGAGTTGAAAGCAAAAATAGTATCGATCTACAACTGCTCACGTTTGTTACCTGAATACTTGCAGCCTTGGCAAAGCTGACGGAGTTACTTGTGCTAGAATAAGACTGTTGTGGGGGCAGGTTTGTGCTGTTGGAATAATAAAACCTCAACACTTAAACTGTCCTCCCAGAGCTGGGTGAGTAACACGTATGTCACATGGTTCTGAAATAAACTGCTGAGTAGATGGTCTGTACAACATAAATCTTTCTGAAGTTGAAACTATGGAAAGAAATGTCAATATGTGACATTTTAGTCCCTAATACCATCTTATGAATGATCATTTATTTACTTGGCTTTTTTGAATCCCATTTTCTGTCTGTCATTTTCTGTGATAATGCCATCGGTATCAACATATGGCAGATTACTCTGTGTTGCTACTCTTGCCTGTATATCTTTTATAATCTAGGCTTGTCTTTGTTTGTTCTTGTGTTTTTAAAATAAAGTCATTGATTTAAAAAAATGATTCTTTTTTTCATGAATCAGACCTTAAGACTGTCCATGTTAAAAGCCTAACTGGTTTGTCTTTGCCAGGCCAGATTAACGGAATCTATGTCTGAAATACAGTGACAGCTACAATGATATTGAGCACTGAAGACAAAAGATCTGAGATGAGGGTGAATTTACAGTTCTCAAATGCTTTTCAAAGTAGTCATTTGATTATTTTTTTTTAAAAGAGGCTCATTTTGTCTCGTTTGCCTACAGCCCCGTTGCTCTCAGCAGACGTGTGGAGGGAGGCCCTGCGCGCCGCAGCTCGGCCTGCCTTTGCTGTAGGCGTCCGCGCCACCTCAGCGGGGAGCACGAGCTCCTCGCACGGCCCCGCGCTCCCAGCCGTGACGCGGGGGCTCCTTTCGCGGGGCCGCTGCTGCGCCTTCCCCCTCTGCTGATAATTTGCAAAACCTTTTAGTTCAATCCCCCAGTTTAGAAAGTAGGTGCAGTGAAACACTAAGACCCGGAATAGCAAATCCCTTCCGTTTGTCTTGTTGTTTTCTAATGTATGCGACCTCTCTGGGTGGTTTAAGCGGTTTAGGTACTTTCTATAAAAGGGATCTTTTAATGACAAAACTAATGTGATTATCTTACTGAGTGTGAGAGGCGTATTCAAGGTTTAAAGAAAATCTGTTAGAATAGCTGAATGTATCTGCTTAATCCTTTCTCTAATGTGGATGGACAATGCTCTGGGAAGCAATTGGTCTTTCTTTCTGAGAGTAAATGCCTGGTCTCCAGAGGTAGGGACTGTTTGCAGCTTTTTATACTCTTACGCTTCACCTTCTAGAGAACACAAAGGCACAGGAGAGAGGCAGAGAGCTTTGAGAGGCCAAATTTTTCCTCAAATAGCTGGGGGTGTAACCAATACCAGACCAATTCCG